AGAGAGAGACGCGGAGAGACGTGGAAAGACAAGGGGAGACAAGGAGAGAAACGGAGAGACGCGGAGAGACGCGTAAAGACGCAGAGAGACACGGAGAGACAAGGAGAGACAAGGAGAGACAGAGAGAGACAAGGAGAGAGAGGGAGAGACAGGGAGAGACAGAGAGAGACGCGGAGAGACACGGAGAGGCAGGGAGAGACAGGGAGAGACAGGGAGAGAGGAGGCTACGAGAGGACTTCTCTAGCGTCTCGGCCTCTGCGAATCTCATTTACAGTGACCGACATTCGACACGGTCAACGATCCTCGAGCAGCGGACGACGACGAAATAGAGAGACGGGGAAAAAAAGGAAGAAAAGGCAGAAGCACAAGACGAGCAAAAAGGGCGGCCGACACGCTCGACATGCACACGGGCCATATTTTTCGTCCTCTCGCTGCCTCCTCCTCCTCCTCCTCCTCCTCCTCTTCCCCCTCCGCGTGCACGCTCGTTCTCTGCACCGTCGATCGTCTCGACACAACACCCTACATCGCGGGAAAAAGCGCACACCGGCGCGAGAGCCGATTGTTCCTATTCAACGGACGAGGGCAAAACAAACCACCCCCGAGTGTGCAACCCCTATTTCCAGCCGTCACGCTGAACGAGACTTGGAACGCTCATCCATAACGCAACCCGTGTAACTCGTTCTTGCGAAACGCGTCCAAGTAGCAAACTGCACGCTTTTGTTCGAAAGGTACACGAATGATCCCGTCGTTTTGTCGAATCTGGGCTCACCCGTATCTCGCACCGCGGCGTTATCGCGTGCCTCTTTTTCTCGCGCTGTTCGCTCCCGCAGTTGGCCGCGCGCGTTCGAATCGGCAACGGGTTTTACCCGCGTCTAATTGTCGCTGGGTGAGAAAGGGACGTCCGGGCGAAATTTACGGAGAACGCTCGCGCGAATAGCGGACGGGCTATATACGCGCACACGTACGCCACACCTGTGCGCGGGATACGCGCGCACACGCGGACACATATCGGGCTTGTAGAAAGCCGCTTAATCTCACTGCGGATTCACATGAAATAATCGGGCGAGAGAGATACATCTCGGTAATTTCCAGCGCTCTCCCACTCCGCTTCGGCGTCCGATTAAACGGGCCCCGGGCTATCGCGGTGGAACGGATCATGTTTTTACCATACTTTCTGTTTTTACGCGCCGCTGAAGAGGGTCGCGACGACTGCTCCGAAAGACCTGTCGCAACGATACGATACTCTCGTTCGATAGAAACGTAACGTACACGTGTGTACCTAAAGGCCGAATCAGACTAGCGATTGTCGACGCGGATTGGATTGGGGATTATCTTCTGGCCAATGAGAGTCGACCAATCGCTGGCTGCTTTGCTCTCATTTGCCAAAGGACAATCGTCAGTCGCCAATCCCAATCCAATCCGAGTCAGCAATTGCTAGTCTGATTCGGCCTTAATACGTTTTTCGAGCGTGTACTTGTTGGGCTTGTCCACTCACACATGGGCCGCATTTGCACGCGCGGACTTTCCAAGGAAAATCGGAGCCGTCTGCGTGCACACGGAAAGGGAAATGTCATGGAGAAGACACGTAAGATTGGGATCGATAATCGCTTCGCGACCCTTCGATCGATATCGATTAATCGAAGAGGATTATCATTTTTAAATTTCCAGAAAGGGCGCGCTTGAAATAGAGGTGCTGTATGCTCGCGCCGTAGTTTTCAGATGGCTCGAATAATCGTGAAAAATAGCGTTTTTATCTTCGACTGGCGCGTTTCCCTCTCGCGCCGTTATCCCGCTCCGATCTCGCGCGAGAACGGCGGGATTTCCATCGTATTTGCGAGACGAACGGGCGCGATACATCCTGACATCCTTCCGTATTTCGCAGCTACGAGGCGTGGATAATATTTTTATCGCCGTCTCCCGCGACTGCCGCGTTACCTCGGCGGTCGCCGCGAGACGACGTATAGGGGTAGCGCGCGCGCGTGCGGCGGCGATACGACGCGTTCCCTTAACAAAGCACGCGCGTGCGACGTGTCGGCCGTCAGGCGACACGTCGGGCTCGAACGCACCACGAATTTCGGCCGAGACGAGAGCGGGGGGCGAAGCCTCAGGCGTGTGCGGAGCGAGAGCACGTCGAGCGTCGGCACACCGGGTATACGAGGAGACGTGGACGCGATGAGAGAAAAGTGGAATACGTGGACGACGGGGTGGCCAGAATTTGCGTCCGTGGACCGTGACCGCTCGTATAGCCTCCCAGTCGGCGAGAAAGCCGAGGACCCGTGTAATGGCTCACGTAGGTGAACCCGTGCACGCGGCTGAAATTTAAACCACCACTACCACCACCGCCGCCGCCACCGCCGCCACCACCACCACCACCGCCACTACCACCACCACCACCACTACTACTACTACTACTACTACCACCAGCAGGAGCAGCAGCAGCAGCACTAGCACCACCAACACCACCGTCAACACCAACGGCAGGAACCACTACTGGCGCACTAGAGAGCACCCACCGGTACAAGCATCCACACTACTGCCGCCACTGCCACCGGCGTATCCACCACCCACCCTTCGTAGTGGATAGAGGGAGAGAGAGAGAGCGAGCGAGAGGCGAGTAGAGTGACAGGAATGAGAGGCGGAGTTGAGGGAGGCTAGCAACCCCCAGACCGGCGTCGCCGTCGTTTCGTCACGGAATCCACGCAGCGGACCGGCCGTGTCGCGCGCATTCCGACGAGGAAATTCGACGAGCTCCTCTCTCTCTCGCGGCTCCTCGCCACCGTCGGGACGGAGAATCGGGCGAGGACGCGTGCGGCCGTGCGCCGCGTGCTGCGTGTACCAAAATGGTGAAGGTCGGCGCGGCGCTGCCCGGCTCGTTTTCACTCGCGACTCGCGGAGGCGGATAAAGAGAGGAGGGATGAGAGGGAGAAAGTGTATGTACGTGTGACAGAGGGAGCCGATCGTTTTCAGTCCGCTTTGGACGGGAAGAGAAAGAGAGAGAGAAAGAGAGAGGGAGAGAGAGAGAGAAAAAGAGAGTACGGCGAGGCGGGTAAAAAGAGATACGCGTGTGGAGATAGGAGACGAAGAGAGTGGAGAGAGGACCTCGGCGCTTCGACCGGGCGCTCCTCGGCCCTCCTCTGCCGCACGACGACTGAATCTTCGGGGTGGACTGGGGAGGCTGCGCGCAGGGTCGACCCCGCTCGTTCCTGCACCCCTGGCCTGTCTGCTTCGCCTGTGCCTGTGCTTGTGCTTGTGCCTGAGCTTGTGCTTGTGCTTGTGCTTGCCGGCCAGTGGTGGCGGCGACGCGAACTACGGGGTGGACAGGGACGTTGTTTTAGGATTTCTCTTTGCGACGGCCGCGCATTTAGACCCTCGATGGGCAAACGATGATGAAGTTTGATGATAACGCCGTTATAAATATTAATGGTGCGGGATATGGGATGTTTGAACGCGGGAGCGCGCCGGAGCGCCGCGATACACCCTTCGCTCCGTCGCTGATTAATTAGGCATTTTGTCGCTGACGATTAATCGTCTTGATTATCGAATGATCAAGGTCCCGTTCCTCCGCATTGTTTTTCCCCTGCTAACAAGTTAATTGTGCTCGATGAACAATTAATCCTTTAATCTCGGCCTTTAATCCGGATAATTATTCACGTTATATCGTACGTATCGATAGAAGATAAACATATGTTTAAGCAGCAATCGCGGGACTAACATTTGGCAGAGGGGAACTTTGATTTACTTAGTTGAATCTTTTTTAGAGGACCACATTGATCCGTGTATTTGTTCCTCAAACAAAAATTGCGCCAGTGCGAAATGAAAACCGGTAGAACTTTTATTGACTGTTAGAAGTTCTCTTTAATCACGAACATGTCGAGTTTTACTTCCCAAGCAAATCGAAAGATTATAATAGGAAGTCGAAATAGGAATTTGTTAGAAATGTAATTAATTAATTTTTTTTATCCAGTTAACCGACTGAACAGTCTGTTAAATGCCACTTACAATTGCTATGGCGTAAAAAAGTAGAGCCACATAAATGGTAAAGTAAAAGATATCATTTATGTAAATATTTATGTAAGTAAAAGATACACATCTCACCATTTAGGTAAATAATGTGAATGATATTTAGCAGACGGTTTAGTCTGTTAATTGGAAAAATTCATTAATTATAATTACGATTTTAACTATTTCCCATTTTCTTCTATTATTATATAATCCTTCAATTCGCTTGGAAAGTAAAACTCGACAGGTTCGTGATTAAAGAGAACTTCTAACGGTAACAAGAAATGAAGAAGAGATAATTCAAATGTTAATATCATCGGTCACGTACTTGATAATTACACTTTGTAAAAATACTTTAATTTATCGTAAATATAACATATTTAATATCTTCCTTTGTATTTATATACAACTGATATATTTATAGCAGGTAGTATAACGGTCGCGAGACAAAAGTTATAATATATATTGCATTTGAGCATTTAATTAATTTTCGAAATTTCTCTTTACATCGAGACTCATTAACGCTGCCAGCAATTTCGAAATCTAAGATTACCAGGTACTTTTAAAGATATATGAATATTTGTTTAGCGACTTAGTGTTATATGTATATGTTATTACTTATATTTAATCCATGCATTTAATCTTTCACAAATGTCAAACTGTCAGATTAAATCCCGAGTTATAGCGTACGAACGTTTGAGCGCAATGCAAAATATCTAATCCGTTCGAAAATATCTAATCCTTTGTCCCGGAAGTGCTAAGGCGTTTAATGAACTTCACGATGACATATACGACTCCATCCTATAAATAAGTAGCTAAACGGAGCGTAAATTAGACAATGTATTTAAATAGACAAGATTTCATTTTTGTCGCGCGAACACAATGACGAATATTTAATAAATTAACCTTGTAGAATCGATGTACGATATCAATGTCGAAATTCTATCGATACGCTACCGCGATATAAATATTATTAGATATAAACTACAGAGATATAATATTACCGCGGATATAATTAGCTCTTCTGTATTTAGCGTAGGCAAACAGCTTGTTTGTTTCAGGAGTAATAATAACTGCTCGCCGAGGCTGCGTGATATATAGAGATACTGTTACCTTTCGGCTTATTAATTATAGACGTGCCTGCTGAAGGATAATGACATTAAACAATGCAGCTCTTCTGCCATTATCGAATAATTTCGTATACGAGTCGAATCACTGAACAAAATGATCTTTGAACAAAATGACCTGCAACCGCAGCAACAATTTTCTAAGTGCGAAAAACTAACTGAGATGTATAAATGAACAGCCAATACTGCGAAATCGCATATGTTTTGTATTTAATCTATTTAAGTAACAGAAACAGAACTTCTGTCTCAACTGTTAGCAAATGATAGGAAGAAAGTCTTTCTATGGCACCCATCCATTATATATTCCTTACAAGGATGTTCCAGCTATGGTATCGAAATTCATTTTTATTCAACGTGAATAATTAACATTTTGTCGTGAAATCTAAACTCTCCAGAAGATAGTAGAATGTTGCCGCTACAAATTTTACAGGCTACAAACAATTTTCTAACAGCTACAAAATATAAGATAATTTTTTGTTGCAACGAACGTAAGATTTTTTTTTAATAAAGAAGAGAATGTACCATTGGACAGGTACCTTGCTAGCCTATTTGGAGAGGATTACCGTAAGCGTCTGATAGATTCCTATTGTTAGATGATAAAAATCCGCGCTAATAAGTTACTCGGATCAATTTGTCACTTAGATGGCAAAATTACAGCTCCTCTTATTTGCACGAATTTCTGTGTTCAAGCAGCGTCGCTAGATGCGGATTTACTTACAAGTCACTGAGAACTAGCAAAAAGGCGGGATTTTCTCGTTAAAAGTCGCTTACCGATTTACTCCCGTTCGATTCCGACAGTCAAGAATAAGAGACTTAATACACAATAGTATGGTATTTAAGACTTGATCTAACTGCGATTTAAGGATGCAATAACAATAGTCGGTGCATACAACTTCCTATGTCCGCCGAGAGTACAGAATTGTGAAGGGAATAGCTAACATGTACTGAAACTGTGCGTATTCCCTGCTCAACAAGCTTAAACATATATCGTATATCGCGTGTATGAAACTTTCTCTCTAAACAGCGAGTCTAATAAACGCGGTTTTGCAAATCGTTAGTTAAATGCGGCATTTGGTATTTTCAACCGTTATTAGCGTAGAGCCGCGCCGCCGCGGCAGTATTTCAATTGTAATCTTCAATTAGGATCGCGATAAGTTTAATGAAGTCAGATACATTTGCAGTTTAACGGGCGCGCCGGTTTTTGCGCTCCGCGTTTTTATCTTCAATAAAGTTTAACAGGCGAAATTCGCCAAAGTCAAGCGGCGCGATCCCCCGAGCGTTTTGCTAACGTAATGGCAATTTAAGCATCTCGAGAGTGAGTCGGTGGGCACGGTTTACCGACCGCCTGCATAGTTTTCCGGAGTGGCGCAAGTAGCGAATTTTTGTAAGACGTGAGCCGCGAGGAAGATGACGCTCACCCGCATCCTCGAGGGGGCCATTTCCGTTTTCCCGCGCGGTTATCGCGCACGTACGGCAATTTCAGGCAAATTGTTTGCAGCGAAGCTTCCGCGAACTGAAACGAGCGTATTAGCCCGCGCGCGCACGCGGAGGAAGTTTATTTGCTTCAGTTCGTAGTGACCTGCGGACATCAAAGCGATTAGGAATTCACATTTGCTGTGGACACGCGCGAATATATTATATATTTCCCAACAATCGATTAAATGTTATCGCTTACGGGCCTCCCAGTAAAGTGCTGCATTGAAATTATTGTCGTTCTGTTAAAGTCGAATTAGACTAGCAATTGCCAACTCGGATTGGATTGGGATTGGCGATTGGCGATTGTCTTCTAGCCAGAGCAAAGCAGCCAGCGATTTAATCGACTCTCATTGGCTAGAGGACAATCGTCAGTCGCCAATCCCAATTCAATCCGAGTCAGCAATGACTAGTCTGATGGCGACGTCCCATGGAGCGGAATCAGCGGATCGCCAATCACAAGACCGTTTCGACGGAATTTTTTAAAGGGCTCTATCAGAATGATCTTGTGATTGGCGATCCGCTGATTCCGCTTCCGCGTGTTCCGCTCCATGGGACGTCGCCCTAAGAGTTCGTCAAATTCCCGCGAGTGAGGGAGAAACATAGGCTATCTCCTTCTACAATTCTACGATCGTAAAAGAGTGAGATAGCCTATGTTTCTTTCTCACTCACGAGAATTTGACGAACCTATGGCCAGTCTCTGATTACAGAGTCTCTAGCCATGGTATAACTAGTAGGTTCTCTGTCGGCCCCTTTGATCTTTGCGGTCCCAAACACATGGTATTCCGTCATGCACTCAGGCAGGATCCAGCGATGTATGTGTGTATCCGTACTCATTAAAGCCATACTACCTCACATACAGCTGTCATCCAGCTCTCACATACAGCTCTCATTGGTCTGCCCAGAACAATGTCGGATGCGCAGAAGGGATCGACGCAGAACGAAACAAATGACGGAGTGAACCTATTAGTTGTACCATGATTCG